GTGACAGGGACAGGCATAGTGAAGAAATTTAAATGTATATTTTGTGGCCCCATAATTAACGCAAAATATTGCATCGCCTCCCGCCTTCCGCCTCCCGCCTCCTGACTGCCGGCTCTTGGTTTGGCAATTTTCACGCAGCATCTGCCGCGCCAGAAAATTACTCTTAAAACTAATTAAAATAAATGTGCGTAAGCCAATAATAGCACAAGTCTCTATGACAACATAGTTGTTAATTATGAGCACTGCTCACAGCCGCGCCGCTGCCAGCGCTGATCTCCAACTCCGAATCGCCGGCAGCGTGCGCTGACCGGAACTGCGCTTCGTCTAACAGTGCCAGCAAAAACAACCACCAGAGCCAGCTGCTGGCCACATTGGCCGGGAATTAAACCAACATTATGGTACATTATCTGCTGCAAGCCAAAAGCTGCGATTCCTCCATTTAACTGACCGCGGTGTAGGTGTACAGCCGACTGACTGTCTGTCGCAGGCTGTGAAGCGTAGGAATATTTACATTCTGCACATAATACAACAAATATCAAATAACAAGAACGAAGGCAACATCAAGAGTTTCTCGTTGCAATTCCAGAATCGCTTTGGTTAATTAATAAACCAAAAATTATAGGTAAATAAAATGTTAGCTTATTTAATTTGCACTACGAAGAGACCACGTATCCAGGCTGGAGTATAGAGTGATAGGTGCTATTACCCGGCTTTGCCCGGCCAAGGTTTGTCTTCTACTTGTTCGGTAGTGTGCACATCTCATCACATAGACATTTGTGTGATAAAATCGATTTTTACCTTGAATGTAGAACATTGAAGCTTGAAGCGATCAGGAAAAAATTGTCTTTCGCCTGAATATCGGTATATTTTCGAGGATTGGATTTTCCGAGATCTGCGAAAACAAGTCTTAAATGTATTATTAAAAAGTAATGGTCAATGAATTAAAAAAAAAAAGAAGATATATACATAATGATTTATTGACAGTATCGATCAATATTTGAATTTCATTAGAGTATTATTAATATTATTTCATTATAAGACTTAGGTTGGCACTCGCTTGTCGATCATTAATGAATTAATAACAAATTAATAAGTAATACAATAAAAAGCTTAAGCATAAGAACAATCAGCTCTTAATATATATATATATTTAATCATCTTCACGAATTTATTCAACAATTGTCAAACACTTTGAGCAACCTTCGGCCATAGATTTAGTATAGCATACTCCAGAGTGAACGCGTCTAACAATTGACGCTGTTTTGGGTTCAAAGTTATAGGTTCAGGTCCAGTTTGCTGCGTTGCCATGAGTAAAGCATATAAACAACAATCAGCCCTGTTAACAACCAACCTGTTGTTTGGTGTTTTGGTGTTGCTGTCGTTTTGATCTCATGAATGCATGAATGATTCCTGCGCGCACACAACACAAACAACATTAACAATAATGACACCAGAAAACAATTGAAATAATTCTAGCAGAAACTTTTAGTCGACTTTTTCATGAACGGGCAAATATTTTTATTTTAGTTTTCGTACCAGCGTCAAGGAGTCTATGTGGAAAATTGCAGCGGAAAAAGGGAAAACAACCAGAAATAAATGCAGCCTATTATGTGCTAGAAAGTGAGAGGCTTTCGAAAGATGCAAATGTTTAGAATTTTTATCTGCCTGATTTTGAATGTTTGGCTCAGCGTCCATGTCTGTTGGGCCCAACAGACGCATATTAAACTGGAGCAGGGCGATCTAATTGGTGTAAATATGAACGAACTCGTGAAAAGATTACAACAAATTAAATTTGTACTTCGGTTCCAGCTTAAGGTCTTTCCGGATGGAGCTCGCAGTGCGGTCTACGCCTTCCTGGGAATACCCTATGCACAGCCACCTTTGGGCTCACTGCGATTTGCCGTAAGTTAACCATGTTCCGATTAGGACACCCAACATTTATTTGTATACCCTAAGGGGTAACAGGTTTATAAGGTTCTGTGCAAACATCTTAAAATGTTATTTTTTGTCTGTCTGTTTCATGATCTCGGAAACTACGAAAACTAGACTTTTGAAATTGTTATATATATTCTTATGATATATCAAACGCAAAGCGAACTTATCATTTTTCCAGATATCTTCTCCCATTATCATAATATCGATTTTGAGATTCGTCTTTTGAGGAATACCTCGATAAATATATGACCTAGATATGGTATACACAGACCTATATGTATTCATATTTCGTATTCCAAAATTTTAATGAACGCATTACCCAAATAAGAGAGTCACGCTTTGGTAAACACGCTTGACTTTCATATTTATGGTCTGAACATTTCAGAAGGATCGGACTATAACACATGCATTTCGCATAGAGTAGAGTAAAAGGAAGAAAAAGCACAGTCAAGCACTTCCGACTATAGAAATTTTATTTGTTGCAGATATTCTTTGATATCGCTGCTTGTTCGACTTAGTAGCTTAAGGCCTTGTGAAGTGTAAGATTTTATCTAACACTTCTCTAATCTTGCTCTTCCCTAAGCCTGCCAAGCCCCACAACGGCTGGAACCGCACGCTGCAGGCCACGGCAATGCAGCCCATTTGCCCGCAGCTGTCGAATACAATCTATGACGAGAGCGCCGACGGCAGCATATCACGTGCTGCTCCCAACAATGAGGATTGCCTCTATCTGAACATCTGGACACCCGAGACGGGCTTGCGCTACGGCCAACTGCCTATGCTGGTCATTATTAGCGGTGAGGATTTCGCCTACGACTGGTCGCGTAATCGCATCAACGGCCTGGACTTTGCCGCTGCCGAGAGCGTGGTTGTGGTCAGCGTGCAATATCGCAGCAACATCTATGGCTGGCTGGGACTGGGCCAAGATCACCGCCAGCTGCCGGGCAACTATGGCCTAAGTGATATTCAACTGGCGCTGCGTTGGCTCCAGCGCTATGCACAGAGTTTCGGTGGCAATCCCGATCAGTTGACGCTGCTCGGTCATGGAAGTGGTGCCATTTTGGCGCTGGCTGCCGCCCTGCAACCGTCTGATGGCGCTTCGCTGTTCAAGCAGCTGATACTGATGTCTCCGGGCCCGGTGCTATACGCCTTGGGTGCTGGCCATCAGCAACGCATTGTGGCAACTGGACGTGTACTCGTGCATAAACTCGGCTGCCAGTTTGAGGAGGCACAACACCGCCAGCTGTTGAGTTGCCTGCGCCGCAAGAGCGCCGAGGATTTGCTGCGCGCCTATGAAAGTGTCTACAATCACGGCAATGCCAGCATGCAGCTGGGCGTGCAGCTAAGCTACCCTGGCGACCTGGAACAGCACCTGGCTAATGTGTCACTGCCCCCGCTGCTGCTGGGCATTGGCTCCAATGAGGGTGCCTTCATGCAGGATTATTGGCTGGACGTGGCGCGTGACGGTCACCCAGCCCTGCACGGCTATATCAACAGCACCCTGTTGCCGAATGTGCTTCGCTCCATGCAGCTGGAGGCGAGTGCCAGCGAGGCTCAATTGGCGGCCATACGTTGGCGCTACTTTAACGACGAGGCTTCGGCTTCGGCCAGTCAATTGCTGTGGGGCATGCAGCGTCTGCTGTCCGAGTCGCTGTACGAGACGCCCTTTCTACGCCTGCTGCAGCTACTCAATGACAGCAGCAGCCCTAGCTATGCCTATGTCTTTGATCAGTCGCATGCTCATGCGATGGACATGCGTGGCAGACAGAATCTGTTTGGCGGCGCCTCACATAGTGCGGATTTGCCGCTGCTGCTCGGTCCTAGTCTGTTTCAACAGATTGCACGGCGCCGTTTCAGCGCCGAGGAGGAGCAGCTGTGCCGCAAGCTACGCGGCTCGTTTGCCAACTTTGTGAAAAGCGGCAATCCAACGCCGGGACGCATTTATGATGCCTGGCAGTCGTACACGCCACAGCGTACCTTTATCTACGCATTGGGTGAGCTGTCCAAGAGCTTGGAGCTGCCAGCTGGCGTTGATGAGGCGCTCATTGAACAACTGCTAAGTGGCAAACAGCAGACGGATATCGGCTCAGATCGCAGCTTGTCCAGAACTAACCGACATGACAACTATCGACAGGGAAACAGCAATTCGTATGTGGCCAACAACCAGCTGGATTCCGGTTATGGCAATCACTTGCGACGCGTTTACGGCTTCTGGCAGGTGCTGCTGCCCACAGCACAGGACGCAGAGCTGCGAGATGGCCGTGGTGGTGCCTTGAGGCAGCGTGTTAGGCTTTTGGAGGCTAATGCTGATGCTGCACGCTATCGGCAAGGTTTTTATGCTATGCTCGGCCTTGTGTGCCTGCTGCTGGCGTGTCTGGGCTTGTGTGTCTATCTGTTGCGTCGCGAGCTGCCCCACAGCAGACGCATCTCATCAACGGAGCCGTCTTATGGCTTATGACAAAAGTGGTTTCGTTGGACGACCATCTTTGGACGCAACGCCAAGTTTGAGGCCGACACAAGCGTGGCCAATGTCGAGTCCTGGCGCAAAGGTGGTCGAACAGCGAAACGAGAACAGGAGCCAGCACCAAGCAGTCGCACGCGACGTCCAAGACAACTGCAGCCGTACGATGAGCAGCCAAAGGGCAACAAGGCTGCAAACACTGCCCGAGGAACCGGAGCTAGAGCTGGAGCAAGAGATGGCTGCGGCGACGGAGCAACCGCAGTTGGAGATGAGGCAACTGTTGCGGAACTCCTGGACACTGTCCGCAACCAATACGAGCAAAATATGGCTTTTAAGAACTGGCAATACCAGTTGACGTGTGATAAGTTCTAAGCATAACCAAAGAATCCATTTGAAGTTGTACATTACGTATATACGTATTTACCTTTCTCTTTGTTTAATTAAAAACATCAACATATTTATTTTCAAAATTGAACAATTCGCGCATTTTGTTGTGTGAAACAGCCCTGTTCGCTGCATCGTGGTATCGATATATCGCATATTGTCGATACTTTCGTTACTCTTATCGATAACTCTGCTGTTTTTAAAACACGTGCAACGCATAGCTGCTTCACGGCACCTTATTTTATTGAAAATTTCAACATAATCGCATTAAAATGGGCTCGAGAAGGCCCCCGGACGTGCACATGTTTCCCTCGGACCTGGAGTTCGCCGTGTTTACACCCGAGGAGATACGAAAACTAAGTGTGGTAAAAGTCATAACCGGCCTCACATTTGATGCCCTGGGACACCCAATACCTGGCGGTCTTTATGACATACGATTGGGATCCTACGGCCGATGCACGGATCCCTGCGGCACATGCCTAAAAATGCAAGATTGTCCCGGCCATATGGGCCATATTGAGCTGGGCTCACTGGTCTACAACCCGTTTTTCATCAAACTGGTGCAACGTTTACTCTGCATATTTTGTCTACACTGTTACAAGCTTCAAATGAAGGGTTAGTGGTACACAAAGTAGTTTAAATCACTTCAATAACATTAAAAATCAACAGATCATGAGAGCGAAATTGTAATGCTGCAGCTGCGGCTTATTGACGCCGGCTACATTATTGAAGCACAAGAACTGGAGCTGTTTAAATCAGAAATTGCCTGCCAGAACACAGAGGAGCTGATTAAGCTGGATAACGGCGACGCCGTACATCCGCACATTGCTGCAGTCAACGAGCTGCTGGCAAAGAATACGAGCAATGCCAGCAATGTGACCAAGACAAGCTGTTCCTTGCGCACAGCCATTACGCACGCGGCTTTGCAGCGAGCCTCCAGTAAGAAGTGCAGGCACTGCAACAAGTCTATGCGCTTCGTGCGCTATTTGCATCGCCGCCTTGTCTATTATGTGACCATTGCCGATTTAAAGGAGCGGTGAGTATGTGGCTGTAGCCTCCATTGATATGTTTGATTTTCGATTTCCCTTGATTTTCTAGGTTGGGTGATGTGCCCGAAAACAGTGGCCAGAACAAGGTCATATTTGCGGATGAATGCCGTCGCTATCTGCGAAAGATATACGAAAATTATCCGCAGCTGCTAAAGCTGTTGGTGCCTGTCTTGAACATAAACAGTGAGGCAAGCGTCACCGGCGACTGCTCGCCAGTGGATATCTTCTTTATGGACACGATACCAGTTACGCCCCCGCGTGCGCGTCCCATGAATGTTATTAACGACATGATGAAGGGCAATCCGCAGACGGACATCTATGTGAACATTATCGAGAATAATCATGTGCTAAATGTAGTACTAAAGTTTATGAAGGGCCAGCAGGAGAAACTTAGCGAGCAGGCAAAAGCTGCCTACCAAAACATGCGCGGTGCCAACAGCCACGAGAAGCTCTACAATGCGTGGCTGGCGCTGCAGAGCTCCGTAGATGTGTTGCTTGATGTAAACATGTCGCGAGACATCAAATCCGCCGAGGGCCTTAAGCAGGTGCTCGAGAAGAAGGAGGGTCTCATACGCAAGCACATGATGGGCAAACGCGTTAATTACGCAGCACGTACTGTCATCACGCCCGATCCCAACATCGATGTAGATGAGATTGGCATACCGGACATATTTGCGCGCAAACTCTCTTATCCGGTACCCGTGACTGAATGGAATGTCATCGAGTTGCGCAAAATGGTCATGAATGGGCCAGAAGTGCACCCGGGCGCCAATTACATACAGGACAGCAAGGGGTTAACCACTTTTATACCTGCCGACAATGCGGCCAAACGAGCCAGCATGGCTAAGCTGTTGCTGTCCAATCCCAAGGACGGCGTCAAGATTGTGCATCGCCATGTTCTGAATGGTGATGTACTGCTGCTCAATCGTCAGCCTTCGCTGCACAAGCCATCCATAATGGCGCATAAGGCGCGCATATTGTACGGCGAGAAAACGTTTCGCCTCCACTACTCCAATTGCAAGGCGTACAATGCCGATTTCGATGGTGACGAGATGAATGCGCACTATCCACAGAGCGAGGTGGCACGTTCCGAGGCCTATAATCTTGTCAATGTGGCCAGCAATTATCTTGTGCCCAAGGACGGTACTCCACTTGGTGGCCTTATACAGGATCAGGTTATTTCGGGCGTCAAGCTGTCCATACGCGGTCGCTTCTTCAACCGCGAGGACTATCAGCAGTTGGTTTTCCAAGGTCTGTCGCATCTTAAAGGCGATGTCAAGTTGCTGCCACCGGCTATACAAAAGCCCGCAACGTTGTGGTCTGGCAAGCAAGTACTCTCGACCATAATCATTAATCTGATACCCGATGGCTATGAGCACATCAACTTAGATTCCTTTGCCAAAATAGGCGGCAAGGTAAGTAAAGACATCTCAGAGTCACCTGTGAACCATTACTAACCCAGTAACGCGTTGCAGAATTGGAATGTGGCTAAACCGCGTACACCGCTGTGTGGCTCGAATCCGCTGGAGCAGGAGCTCAGTGAGAGTCAAGTACAAATACGTAAGGGCGAGCTTCTGGTGGGTGTTCTGGACAAGCAGCAGTATGGCGCCACCACTTTTGGCCTCATTCACTGCATGTACGAGCTGTATGGCGGCGACGTGTCCACGCGCCTGCTAACCGCCTTCACCAAGGTGTTTACATTTTTCCTGCAGCTTGAGGGCTTTACGTTGGGTGTCAAGGACATTTTGGTCACCGACGAAGCGGATCGCAGGCGTCAAAAAATCATTCGCGAGTGTCGTGATGTGGGCAACAGCGCCGTTGCCGCTGCTTTGGAGCTGGAGGATGTGCCACCGCACGATATATTGGCCGAACAAATGGAGGCCGCCTATGTTAAGGACTCCAAGTTTCGAGTTCTGCTCGATCGCAAATACAAATCGCTACTGGACGGCTACACAAATGACATTAATAAGTTAGTAGCATAACTAACCAAAATGTATTTAGCTACAGGTGTTTCTTTTTTTTATAGAACTTGCTTGCCAGGCGGTCTGATCACGAAGTTTCCATCAAACAATCTGCAGTTAATGGTCTTGTCTGGCGCCAAAGGCTCTATGGTTAACACCATGCAAATCTCCTGCCTGCTTGGGCAAATTGAGCTGGAAGGCAAGCGACCGCCGTTGATGATATCTGGAAAATCGCTACCCAGTTTTACCTCTTTTGAGACATCGCCAAAGTCGGGCGGCTTTATTGATGGGCGCTTTATGACAGGCATACAGCCGCAGGACTTTTTCTTTCACTGCATGGCTGGTCGTGAAGTAAGCCTTAAATATGGACATAAAAGATTAGATTAGGATTAACAACTCATTATACTTCACAACAGGGTCTCATCGATACTGCTGTAAAGACATCCCGTTCCGGTTATCTACAGCGCTGTCTTATCAAGCACTTGGAGGGGTTGAGTGTTCACTATGATCTGACTGTGCGCGACAGTGACAACAGTGTGGTCCAGTTTCTGTACGGCGAGGACGGCTTGGACATACTTAAGTCCAAGTTTTTTAACGGAAAATTCTGCGCAGATTTTCTGGCACAAAACGCAAAGGCCGTTCTGCGGCCCAGCCAACTGCAGCTGATGAAGGACGAGGAGTGCCTCGCCAAGGTACTGCGCCATGAGAAACACATACGTAGCTGGCAGAAGAAACAGCCTGCCAAACTGCATGCAGCTTTCACTCACTTTTCGGAGGAGCTTCGAAACGAAGTGGAAGTTAAGCGACCAAATGAGATAAATGTCAAGACGGGACGCCGGCGCTTCGACGAGGGCCTGCTCAAACTGTGGAAGAAGGCCGATGCCGAGGACAAAGCACTGTACCGGAAGAAATATGCACGCTGTCCTGATCCCACCGTAGCCGTATACAAGCAAGACAATTATTATGGTGCGGTTTCTGAGCGCACGCGTCAATTGATCGATGACTATGCGCTCAAGCACCCGTCACAGAAGCAAATCATAGCAGATATAATGCACATGAAGAGCATCAAGGCGTTGGCCTCCCCCGGCGAACCGGTTGGTCTGATTGCAGCTCAGTCGATTGGTGAACCGTCCACCCAGATGACATTGAATACCTTCCATTTCGCTGGTCGTGGTGAAATGAACGTTACTCTGGGTATACCTCGCTTAAGGGAAATTCTAATGCTGGCGTCCTCGAATATCAAGACCCCTTCAATGGACATACCCATCAAGCCGGGACAGCAGCATAATGCGGAGAAGTTGCGCATTTCCCTCAACTGTGTGACCTTGGCCAGTCTGCTGGAATGTAAGTTATATATTTATACCGAACTAGCTTTATATTTATTCTGGCCTATCACCATCTAGCCGTGCATATCAACACAAGCTTGACGATGGAACCGGAACGCGCGTATGTCTATGACTTGCACTTCCAGTTCCTACCACGTGAGAACTACAAGGAGGATTACAGCGTGAGGCCCAAGCGTATTATCAAATACATGCATCAGACATACTTCAAACAGCTCATTCGCGCTATTATAAAGGTGTCTAACGCCAAGAAGACTTCCAAAATGTAAATATACAATTGATATGCTCCAAGGTGAATACTTAGCTTAATTTCTTCTACAGCGTCGTGGTAGATGAGAAAAAGGAGTCTGGCAACAAGCACGACGAGGACAATGATCTAGAGTTGGATGCTGATGACGTGGGCATACAAAAGGCTCAAGACAATGATGACGACTCCTCAGATGACGGCGTAAGTCAAATATTCCGTTGCAAATACAAGAATATTTTGGATTCAAATTTGTCTGCAATAGGGTGACGACGACGCGACTGGCATTAAACTCAAGCAGCGCAAAACCGACGAAAAGGACTATGACGATCCGGATGATGTTGAGGAAATAATTGATGCCAATGGTAAACGGATTTTAATCATCTTAATTTAATTGACTAACTCCTAAAACTTGGGGCTTTTAGACGATGAAGAGGAGCCCGATGAAGAGGACGCATACGGCAATGAACCGGCAAACGACGAAAATGCTGAGGTGGACGATAAGTCGGTGGAAAAGTTGCTTAGCAACCAAATGGTTCAAGATTACACCTACGACAAGGAGCATCATCTTTGGTGCAGAGTTAAACTCAATCTGAGCGTTCGCTACCAAAAGCCCGATCTGACATCCATCATACGCGAACTGGCCGCCAAAAGCATTGTACATCAGGTGCCGCACATTAAGCGCGCCATTATCTACAAGGGAAATGACGATGAGCAGTTGCTGAAAACAGATGGCATCAATATTGGTGAAATGTTCCAACACAACAAAATCTTGGACCTGAATCGATTGTACTCCAATGACATACATGCTATAGCACGGACATATGGCATCGAAGCTGCGAACCAGGTCATTGTCAAGGAAGTGAGCAATGTGTTTAAGGTCTATGGAATTACCGTGGATCGACGCCATTTATCACTGATTGCCGACTACATGACCTTTGACGGCACCTTCCAGCCGCTTTCACGCAAAGGCATGGAGCACTCCTCTTCGCCGTTGCAGCAAATGTCCTTTGAATCCAGTTTGCAGTTTCTGCGCAACGCGGCTGGCTTTGGACGTCCCGACGAGCTGAATTCACCATCAAGTCGCTTGATGGTAGGCCTGCCTGTTCGAAATGGCACAGGCGCTTTTGAGTTGTTAACGAAAATTTGCTAATTACCACAATTTTGTTTAAATAAATACGCGCTCCTTTTTAAAGCCAAGTATCGATATTCCTGACTGCGGAGCATTATCAATCGATTAATTAAGCAACAGCTGATGCGATATGCTCATTTTGGCCACCTCTAACTGTCAGCTGGGCTCCACCATTAGTTTGTTTGTGGTAGCAAAATAAAAATGTTGACTTCAATGGTTAAGGAACATCATGCTAAGCAATCGAAGCGTAAGCAAGAACAGGAAGTGCGTCGCAAAGAAGCCATTGAAGCCTCCAACGAGCTTACACAATCGCTAGTTGATCACTTGAATGTGGGGTAAGTTAAACTTGCAGTACCTATATTGATATGCAGACTACACAATCTACAAAATAGTGTGGCACAAGCTTATTTAAATCAAAAGCGATTGGATGTAGAGGCCAAACAGTTGCATGTGGGTGCCACAAACTTTGCGAAACAGACGCATCAATGGCTACAATTGATTGACAACTTCAGCAGCGCATTGAAGGAACTTGGGGATGTTGAAAACTGGGCTCGCAGTATAGAAGGCGACATGCAAGTTGTACAGCAGACCCTGGAGCTTGCCTACAAGACTTCGCGGGCAACGCAGGTGACAACAGGTGCCTCAACATCTGCAGCAGGAATCCCCTCAAACTCCTCAGCAGCAGCAGCAGCTAATCCAAATTGAAGACAATTTAGTCATGTGTAAAATGCCCCGCTGAATTAGGTCAACATGAGCTGATTTGTTTAAAGTAGTTTATTTTATTGTACAATTACTATATAAAATACAAACGCAGTGCAGGTAAAATGTACATTTTACTAATTCGGTCGCGTTGGCCCATAACTGCATTGAAATACATATTACACGTTAAGCACATTTAAGATGTTACTTATTTTATACTAGAACGTAAAACTGGGTTAGTTTAGTTAGTTTATTGTTATCAATTTACGCTGTTGCTTTTAAAATACATATCACAAAGTGTGTTACGCGGGTTGAAGGAGAGAGAGGATGAGACGCGTAATATACACGGATGCTCTCTTTGTGGCTACAATACAGTTTACAAAACGTACGAGGATGCAACATCAAATAATTATCAAATAATTATGGTTAGGCGTGATGAAAACTATATAATGATGATTATACAGGCGCTGCCGAACAGTATATGGGATATGGGCAGGGATTTTATAACAAAACAATTCAGTCTATATCCTCGTGCTGAGCCTTTGCATTTGTTGTGCAGTTGGCACCCCCACACAGAATTGTGGCACACTAGTAACGCGATTGAACCCGGGCAGCTGAGAAAGAATAAGGACAATAATCAGTATCATTTTCAAAAACTATGTCTGCCTACTTACGCTTGCGTGGTGAGCGTGAACGGGAATAGCTGCGAGTGCGACTGCGGCTACGGTCGTAGCGATGACGGCTGCGATATTTGCGACGATTGGAATCGTAGGGTGATACTGACGACGACTCTTCACGGTGGCGGCGACGCGAACGAGAGGTGTCTCGAGTGCTATAGTCACGCTCACGAGAGCGTCTACCCAAGGGACTGTAACATATTCACCTTAAGAACAAGCATTCATTCTAAAGCAATCTACAACAAACCGTGATGGGCGTCCCATGTACACACCAGGTGTGGGCGTGTGCGCGCGTTGCGTTATTGAGTAATCGACACGTATACGGCGACCATCCACCTCCATTCCAGTGCAGGCATCCTTAGCTACCCGTGCATCACCGAGATTCTCAAAGTATATGAAGCAAAAGCCCCGAGAGCGATGGGTCTGCAAGAATTATTGTTGGATAATTCACAGTAATCTTACAGAGTCGTACGTTGCAGTCGAGTGTAACCGACCGATAGATTAAGTCTTAAATTATTTAAAGCACTGTCTGTCACAGCAATATTCCTGAGTATATATTGTGACAGACTTTGTGACCATAGTATATATAAAAATGTAACTCAAAATAATCGACATTTTCCTCTTAATATATAGATGTTGCAGCAAGCCTTTAGTGGGTTGTGCTAGTAACTTGCATAGCAGGCACTCTTTATTGCTGCATTTAAGTATGCTATTGCCAAAAGTCAGTACGCAACTAGCACAACCTAATGTCCAAGATACGAGCTGACCAATTGATGGCTATCGATTGCAAATTGATTCTATGGCACTTACATGAGCATCTATGACCATTTGAATACGTTCGATGGGTCCAAATTTGTTAAACAATTCGCGCACCTTCTGTTGGGTGGTGTTGGTATTCAGGCCGAAAACTCCAATACATCGGCTAGCCTGTGGATGATCCTGCGTCAGGACATTGTAATGACTGCCTTGTATAAGACATTTGCTGTGAATTTGGCGCTACTTACGCGTGCCTGACGCATGCGTTGGCGATCCCGAGATGTGCGGCCTGAATAATGACGAACTTGCGGCGATTCTGACCCGGAGCGCGAACGTCGACGATGCTGCGAGCTGGACTTGGAGTTGTAATTGTGGTGACGGCTGCCATAGACTTCTCCGTCCGACCTTGAATGGGAATAGGATAGATTTTCAATTGGTTTGCTGGCTGTGCATCTTGATTGTAAAAATGTGTGGTTCGGATTTTGACACTTGAGTATTCGAATTGAACTGCTATATTTGTGTTGGATTCACATTGCATTTCAGAAACAAACTTGCTTGCTCTTCAATTACTGTGCACTGTGTACGTTCTGATCTGAAAGGTAAACCATTTGTTTCAGTTTTTCTTACATTTTTTAGTATAATATTTTTGGCAAAACTAGAGAACAGAACCTGCTCGCTTGAAAAACTAAGCCAAATGAAGTATTCCTGATGACAGTTTAAAGACAACCGAAATATTTCGCCTGCTTAGATGCCTGTCAATCTTTACTCGATACCCAATTTCTCATTCGATACTCACCGACGCGGACGGGTACGAGAACTCTCCGAGGATGCCGCAGACGAAGGGGACGATGTGGCAGAGCTGTAAAAGGTGCGAACCGTTTGATTGTATACAGGTTGATTATAATAGTTGTTTCAATATACCTGTGACTACATTTGTGCTTATCAATGCGATGTAAATGTAAATATTCCTTTTCCCTCGCGTTAACGAGCCCTGTGGACTACATACATATGTCAGCGTCACGTTATAAACGTTTTCAATTGCGATTAAATAGCAGCGGTTTGAGTCATTACTTACCATGTTATGAGGCGTTAAATACAATTGATAAAAGCCCAATTTAATGAATTTTTATAATACTCCTCTGCTCCAAAATTACTGTCGGAAGGGAAAACATGCAGAAGCTATCAGGGCTACAATGTTATCGCAATCGGTGTTTTTAGAACTTGTTAGTTCATAATCGAAGCAAAGATTATCAGGGCTGCAAAGTCATCGCCATCGAAATTCTTACAACTTAACGTGCGTCAAATTAGCGGCGGCGACTTAGCGTCGAATTTTGGTACTTGTTATCGGAAAACTATCGGTCACTTTCAAATGCATTTATTTATGTTTTTAAGCACGAAACCAAATAAATTTAAATGCAGAATTGCGATTTTCTTGATGTAAAAAGCAAAATGATTGATAATTCGCGATCTATATGTTAAACTACCGTGCATTTGGGGCCATTATCGGAGAAATAGAATAATAAAGGTTGAAATATCGTCGTCATTTTGATAAATGAATATGTTAAGTTTGTAATGTTGCCAGATAGTTTTTTTTGCATAACAGGGGATATAATAAGAAAAATAGTAAAATGTGAATTTCTCTAAAACTGGCTGGACGATTTTCTTGATGTAAAAAGCAAAATGATTGATAATTCGCGATCTATATGTTAAAATACCGTGCATTTGGGGCCATAATCGGAGAAATAGAATAATAAAGGTTGAAATATCGTCGCCATTTTGATAAATGAATATGTTAAGTATGTAATGTTGCCAGCTAGTTTTTTTTGCATAACAGAGGGTATAATAAGAAAAATAGTAAAATGCGAATTTCTCTAAAACTGGCTGGACGATTTTCTTGATGTAAAAAGCAAAATGATTGATAATTCGCGATCTATATGTTAAACTACCGTGCATTTGGGGCCATTATCGGAGAAATATAATAATATAGGTTGAAATATTGCCACCTTTTCGTTATTATGCGTGCATAAATACTTAAATGCATAGGTGTCGTCTTTTGCAGCAGTCTATTTTACCAAAGATAATGTTTTATTGTAAAATGACAATTATTTTATATATTACTGCATTTCTCTTTCATATACAAGTATTTTGAATTAATTTGTTCCCGCTCAATACTTTATAATATTGTTCAACACTGATTCCGAGCAGTGGTTCGGTTCCCGTTGGAGATAGTAGTTCGATAGGCCTTTTGAATGAACAACATGAGATGTGTTTACATTTTGCTATTTTTCTAAAAAACTGGAGAACCGATTTGTTTAGAATTAATGCATAAAGCTTTCTTAAACATGTATCTTCAAGTTGATATACCGTGCATTGAGGGCCATTATCCCTGAGAAAAGTTATTAGGGTTCAAGTGCAAGGGTGATTTTTTACGGTCATTTTGTATGGGGCTAGCAACGAGGTTGCTGCACTGTAGTACAAATATCTTAAAAACGTGCTGATCGATTTTTATAATTTTTTCACTATTGGATAGGTGAAACTATAGACTTCAATCGTGTATATGCGGTTTTCGGGGCCATTATCCCTGAAGTAAGATATTTAAAGAATGGCGAAAACCTAACTTTTCAACCCCTTTGTTTACCCATATTAAAAATTAAAATTCAAAAATAAATGAATGTAGATAGTAAATAATTTAATTTTTGGCAATTCTGCATTTAAATTTATTTGGTTTCGTGCTTAAAAACATAAATAAATGCATTTGAAAGTGACCGATAGTTTTCCGATAACAAGTACCAAAATTCGACGCTAAGTCACCGCCGCTAATTTGACGCACGTGCCACAATAATATCGTATATCGACATATAGTTTTAAAATGTATTTTTGTCGACAATTTTGAACAATATTGACCTGATGATGAGCCAAATGTGAACAACAACGGCTAGAAAAACTGTTATCTAGCGAGCGAATTCTAAAATGCCTAACAAAACCAAATGAACACTCTAAATAACTAGTAAACACACACTGAAAAGACAATAAATTTATATAATTAATCAAATTTAATGTCTTAGATCTTAGAATAACCACTTTAAACGGTACCCACAGAAAATCAGTCTTTTGTATTGTTAAGAAACCCATAAGGCATTCCCAATCCTATATATACCCGGAGTACCTTATAGTCGAGCACTCTTCGGCAAATCATTACAACCAGTTAATTAATGTGATGAAATGCTTAAGAGTTTCGGAGCTTTTAAGCATAATTAGTAGAATACTTCACCTAACACAACACTTTTACAAATATAGAGTTAGATTTTAAAGCTTCAAAGCTTACACTTTTATTTACCAATATATACGGACATACAGTCATTGATCAGAATATCGGAAGATACACCTTGTTACTTTAATTATACCTACATATATGCATCACAGTTTGTAAATATAAAAATACTAAATAGACGACTATTTATCTGTAGTACCTACTGAACGCATCGTGTTTCATAATAATGAAAGAATAAAGCATTTTCCGCTCCTCATTATACAGGTCTGTTATGCTTCTGACCATTCGATCGTTATTGTAGGGACTCCTTGGCGGAGCCTCCAGCAGATTGCCTTTAACATGCCATTTCTTTTCGGAAAAAAATGTTTTCACTCTGGCACGCAAGCCAACGCCACTGAATGTGGGTTTCCGAAATATTTCACACATATTCTTTTTGCCGTACTTGTGGAAAATACGGTTCAAGGTATCATCTACTTCTGGCAGCTTAGAATAATAAATATACCATAATTTGCGATCAGGTGCCCGCATATCAGTTAGACTTAGGACTCCAAAACATTCCACAATGGAGGGATCACATTTAGTTGTTTCTTCAGTTGGCTTTATGTAGAACATGCGATGTAAATATGTCTCAAATTCATCATTAAAACTTTTGTCGACTGCAATAGAATTAGTTATTGTATTTCTCTAAATGATTTCGTGTTCTCCTATAAATTACCTTCTGACGCCATTTTTTTTGTATGAGAGCGTTACACTGTTTTCTTGGCTGTTGTGCGAATTATACTTAACCAAAAGTGCCGTTAGCTTGTGGTTAAATAGCCAATTTTGTCATTTCAATTTATATGAAATATGCAAAAAGCTCTGACTTTAATATTTATTTCGCAAATATGCTCGGTCAAAAGCTGCTTTTGTGAAGGTATCGATACTCCGTTTTGCGCTGCCAGACTGTTTTAATTTAGATCAGATAAAAATAAATGCAGATGTATTTCTCAGGGGTAAAGGATTCTTTAATTATTCAACGTACACCATTTTATTTTGTTAATTAAATTTATTGTTAATTAGTATTAAAACTAGTTATTAAATACCCATCAATCATAGCAATTTGTGAGGAGTTATCGTTTTCCAGTAGTAAAGCGCTGCCAGTATTTTGAAAGATTTGCAAGTAGGTTGGCAGTTCTTGAACCCACAGCTGCTGCTGCTTGATAAATTTGTTATTCAACCAGCCCACTTTAACAAAAAACAATGCAAAATTGTATTAAACTTTTGCCGCTGGCACTAAAGTGCAATCAGCGAGCTATTAGCACAACTGCACCAATGGCTGGAAAGCGCAACTTTCGTAAATTTAATGTGTATGGCAAGCGTGGAACACGTGTGGTAAAAGAAGCACAGCGGACGCTAGCAAATCCGGCGGTAGCCATACACAAACGAGGAGTTCGTGATACAGGCATTACAGTTAATGGCCAATATGTGGAAATACCAGAGAAAATACCCGACATTATAGTGCCAGATCTAACCGGCTGCAAATTGAAGCCATATGTGTCCTACAAAGCGCCCGAAGTAATACAATCGGAATTTACCAGTTTGGATCTCTTCAACGCCGTCTATTCCCAAAAGATTATAGAGGACTTCAAGGCTGGCAAACTGGAGGCCGATGGCAGCGCGACGGAACCTTCACCCAACGAACAGCTAACGCCAGAGTTAGCTCTGCAGCGTGCGCGTAAAACGGGCAGTGATATTTTTTAGACATGCACACATGCTTTTAGAGTTTATTATATGTTAAATATGTTGGGTTTCTATTGCTGTATGTACTTTTGACGATAATTGAAGAGTTTGCGGAGCCATTTGTCGGCCTTTAGGTCAGAATCGGCTAAAAACTGCAAGCGGTAAAACAAATATGTTAAATAAAAAGTACGTAAATAAGAACAAGGTTAAACTCACGTTTGGATGAAATATATCGTCATCTTTTGATTGAACAACTTCGATAGGCTTGGGTATGGTAACCGTTTCCTTATTTAAATCAATTATTACCTTGTCATCTTGCGCTTCACGGTCCCGTGTGCTGAAGAATGCAGACGGCTTAAAGGCATCCTCATCAATGGTTTCCAGAGCCTTTTGCACTTTTGCGTCCAGCAGGTCAATGGCTTTGATGGGCGGGACTGTGGATGTGCTGGCCTGGCGCGAAGTGCTCTCGGAACTGGGCGCTCTTGTTGTGCGTTGTGATACGGACCGGGATTTCGATTTTCGAGAATCGACGTCCCTGCTTTTGCTCTGTCGGCTTCTTGAGCTGCTTCGGGAACTGTGTGGTGTTGTGCTACGAGATGAGCTTCGGCTACTGCTGCGGCTACGTCGGTAATACTTTTTGGATTTCTTAGACTTCTTTTTCTTTGACTTTGATCTGTTCCTGCTGCTACGTGAGGGAGATTTGGATTTGGAACGGTACCGTTCCCGTTCCCTATCCCGTTCTCGATCTCTATCACGGTTTCTATCTCGCTCCCGATCCCGATCCCGGTCGCGATCTCTCTCCCGCTCTCGTTCTCGTTCGCGTCTTTCACGCATTATTTTTTTTTCTTAGCGTCGGCAAAGGCTTGCTGCCATAAAAGTAAAATACTTAACACTAATGTTATTCAACTTAACAGCGGCACATTCTTGACTGTTATTAACAGTGGAAAATAGCAGCTTTAAAATCTGCCGAAATTCATGTTCGCATATGCCAAGCTAATAATAAAATGCATATAATCAAAAGTGGGTTATTGAATCTCGAGGTAACAAAGTTAAATTTGAATAAAAAATATGTATTGGAGGAGTAACTTCGTTACATGAGGAGTAATTCTGGCAAGTAAAAATTACCCTCATGATTAGGGATATTTGAGGAAAGGTGTTAGTTAGAAGGGAAATTTGAAAGCGCAAAGTTTTGAAATTCTTTCGAAGAGGTAATCAAACAAAAAAGTTCAAATTTAAGCGCAAAGAACGTTATCAAACGTGACATACAATTTCTATTCATAGATCCATCAGGCTGAATTAGTTTTTCCAGCAAATATATCAAATCTGAATGCAATAAATCAAATGTCCTAATCGTCAACCGGTTATCAAATATAATGTTATAATAATATATGATTGAAGCTTTAACGTTATATATTGGCTGATTAAACAGCCTTGGGGGTATATAAATGCTTGCCGAACTTCATTTGCTCGCAATCAAATTGCAGCGGTCAATATAATTAGTTAATGGTGTTGAAAATGTGGCTGTTCCGATTCCTGTTAGCTCAGCTAATTCTGGCCTTCATTGTCACAGCCTTGCCCGCCGATGTCGGCCGAAGTAGCTCAACAACAACGGTAAATTCGATATATTTATTCTTAAATTTAAACTCTCATTGCATATAATATTTTATTGTATACCAAATATTAGGTGTCTCTTGTAAAAAAATATGGCTATCCCATTGAGGAACATGAAGTACAAACGTCCGATGGGTATCTCCTAACCATGCATCGCATACCCTACTCCAAGAACACAGGCGACACAGGTCGTCGTCCGGTTATGTTCCTGATGCACGGTTTGCTCTGCTCCTCATCGGACTGGGTCTTAAGCGGTCCGTCCAATGGTTTGGCATTCATCCTGTCTGATGCTGGCTACGATGTTTGGATGGGCAATGCTCGCGGCAATACTTACTCGAGAAAACATGCTAGCAAGTCACCTCTGCTCCAGCCTTTCTGGAACTTTGAATGGCATGACATTGGTATCTATGATTTGCCCGCAATGATGGATTACGTCTTATACCATACGGGCGAGGAACAACTGCAGTATGTCGGTCACTCTCAGGGCACAACAGCATTCTTTGTGCTGAACTCAATGATTAAGAGATTCAAGAGTCGCATTCGATCAGCACATTTGTTGGCACCGGTTGCCTGGATGGAACATATGGAAAGTCCGCTGGCCAAGGTTGCAGCACCTTTGCTTGGACAGCCCAATGCCTTTGTCGAGCTATTCGGCAGCGCCGAATTCTTGCCCAACTCCAAGGCTATGGATCTAATGGGCGCGTTGCTATGCCACGACGAGGCAATATCCCAAGCGATCTGCTCAAATACGCTTTTCCTCCTAGGAGGATGGAACTCGCCTTATTTGAACGCCACAATGATTCCGGAAATTATGGCCACAACTCCAGCTGGCAGCTCAATCAACCAAATCTTCCATTACCTGCAAGAATACAATTCGGGATATTTCCGTCAGTTCGATTATGGCTCGACCAGAAACAAAAAGGACTATGGCAGCAAGACTCCACCTGAATACGACGTTGAGGGCATTGACGTCCCAACCTATCTCTATTACAGCGACAATGACTATTTCGCTAGTATAATAGATGTCGATAAACTTCGTTACACAATGAATCCTGATTCCCTAAAACGCGCGTATCGTTTGCCTGAGACGAAGTGGAATCATTTGGACTTTCTATGGGGCTTGAATGTCAAGGAAATACTTTATGATACGGTTCTTGACGACATCGTAAATGCGTAATTCGCAACAATAAAGCCAAAACCTCCTATACATTAGTGTTTTATTAGGGTACGTTTATCAATCTTTGCGGGCTTACCGTTTAAAAATACATACTTGCAGCTGTTTTTGCTCATAAATAAATTAAGTGTGTAATCTGATAAGAAAAGAAGGTACCATGAATGTAAACTTGTGGGTCAAATATAGCTGAATATATTATATATAAAACATAAGAATTTAACAGACTTTGTATGTAATTAACAATAAAATTATTAACCTTAACTTTCAAACTTGTATAATACCATTTCCTCTTCCTGTTTACAATAAAATAGAATAATCAAATATTTGTGTTGCATGCACATATCATAGCTGTGTAAGCTGCTTAATCAACTTTCCTTTTAGCGTTAATAAAGCACCAAGTATACAGTGTTTAATTCCAATTGCATACGGTCATAAAGTCAGCAAACAGTTTATTTGACTTAATGATTGTTCTTCAATATAAAGAATATACAAATTCAGCTGTGTTGTAATTAAGGGTCTGTACAACAGCAACATCAGGGGTATACGCCAAGTTAATGAGTTCTGAGTGTCTATCGTATTTTAGAGACCATTGCTAATATTTCCTACAACTACTATTAGTTACCGCTGCCATTGTTAAACGAAAAATTATTTTCAAAATTAATCTGCAGATAAACATAACTACGAAATTTGGTCACTCAATTATGTTCAAAGCAAGCCTGCGGTTTCTACAGTGCTTTTCAGGATTTTCTGCTTTCGCTCATCTGGTCACACTAAGCTTGCAGGTATATTCACGGTACAGCCTCGGCGAAAAAAGTGTATTGTCCATTTAATTTCAAGCATAGTTTTGACTAAATAACGCCGTAGAACGTAGCCCAGTGCGTTGGGAAAGATGACGCGCATAACAAGAAGTGATATCTCACTTGATATGGAGTGCTGGGTGGAGGAGTTGTCGCCAGCGCAGTTGGCCTACTATGAAAAAATCACGAACGAACACAACGCTGTAAAAAACGCTCTGAAAACCGCCGTCAGCGCTAATGAGGGAAAGGAGCTGTTTAATGGACAGGTGTTTCAGGCATACTCGTTCAAAGGCAAAGTGCTACAGGAACTGAAGGAAGCCACGTTGCCAAAGAAGCCACCGAAGGCAGCAGATCTGGCAACCCCGCCGCCTGCTTCCGGCGGTGGTGGTAGTGGAACGGGGCGTGGGCGTGGCCGACCACGGCTTGCCTCAAACATTGCTTACTTGGAGTCATCGGACGAGGGTGATGACGATGTGCCGCTGGCCAAACGCTTGGCCCTATCAGTGGGCAAAAAGGGTGTCGCTGCAGCGGCTCCAGCTTCAACCACACCGAAATCGGGTAAAAAATCTGGCTCTGCAGCAGCTGCTTCATCTCCCACTGGCAAGTCGTCGCCTCAGCCTAAGGGTAAGGGATCCGCATCCGGATCCAGTGGCAAAGCGTCAGGTATCGGCGAAGCGCCGCCTAAAAACTTCCGTCCTGCTGAGGTCAACTCTGTGGGTGGTCTGGTTGTGGGTAGCAACGATGACAGTAGCGGTAAGGATGGTAAGGATTCTAAGGATGGCAAGGATACCAAAATGCAGGGCAAAACATATCCGTCGTTGGTCGTACTGGCCAAGCCATTCCTGAAGGTTAAAGACATGGCGGCCACGCGTAGCAAACTGGACTCCAAGGTCAAGCTGGTACTAATGCTGACTCCCAACAAGTTCTGCGAGTGGCTGCTGCAAGAAGGCTTGCTGCGAGCCCAACAGCACTGCATCAATCATCGCAATAACGAACTCAAGTTGGGTAAGCATCAATAAAACTGCTAAAGACCTTTTGCGAATGCGATTATCAACAGCTACTAAAACTTTAAATTAATGGCAAAATAGATCGTCCAACTTATTGATTAATAACATCTAATTTACGAACATTGTGCTTTTCCTAGGCGTTTACTCTGACATCAGCAAGTTTCCGTACACCGGTGGCTATGTGTGGATCAGCGAGTGCTGTCCGTATCGGTTCGTTTCAGTGTTTAACAATTCGATATTCGAAGGGGCTCAGCATCCGCCAACGTTTCTCCTGAAACTAATATATCATTGGGCTTGCCAGACCAGCATCCAGAATGTGGTGCAGTGGGTAAAGGTGGACAGCGTGTACATCAAAGGTATTTACACGTGGCTACGTGCTATTTGCACCTTAGCGGTGCATCAAAAGTGCAAAAAGCTGGGCGGTCCTGGAAAGTTCGTGGAGGTGCGTTTTATCCAGTTATTATCAGGAGTATTATTTATTCAGTTTTATTTGTTGTTATAGGTTGGTGTCATCTCGTTGGGCACCACGTCGCAGGATGGCGCACAGCGTCAGGTAAAAGTGGAGGTCCTTGGCGTCTACGACTATGCAGATAAATCTATACGGTTGCGTGCCGTAGAACCGATTACCGATGGCGATCGCAATTATAAAAAGCGTTTTCAGGTAGAAAATTAGCTAATTGATCACGAATTTAACTAAGTTTTAAAATAATATACCCTTCTATTTGCAGGCCATTTTAGAGCCACTGTCCCGGTGGGTGCACAAAGACAGCACTATTTGCATAGACTTGACCGTAGACAAGATAACACTCTTTAGCATGGGTTTCAAGAACATTGTACAAGCTGCAGCCACTGATAATGCGGCGAAGCACAACAATTCGGCGGTCATGGAATACTTGCGCCGCATTGTACCACGCATGTTCCAGAATACCCTCTCGTTGCTCTCGCGCCAGATGATACAACAGTTCCTTGATGAGCTGGTCTGGCGCGAATCCTTTGGTACGTATGCGCTGCAAGCGTTCAACAATATCATCATACATATTGCCGAGCAGACACGCGTGACCACCAATGAGACCATTACACAACGCCTTTATCAGGTGGGTATCAGTTAATTAAGCCTCAATAAGTATCCAATTTTATTAATATAAATCGGTTTTGCAGGTCGCAACGAATCCGTTTAAGGACTGGAGCGTGCTGCCTCCCAATTACAAGGAGACACCGGCTAATGCTACGCCTAAACGCCTCAAGAAACGTTAGTAAATCATCGCTAGTTAGTATGTAGGCCGTGCTTAGTCTTAATAGTCTAATTTAGACATAGGGCAGCTGTAGCTGCGAGAAATGCCAAACCCGAATTATATTGTAATGCCTTTGCGTTTTTTCACTCCAAAGCGAATGTAATGTTCAATGTCCACTATGCCCATCAATAATTTAAATGTTTCAAGATTTTCAATCTATTGACATCGAATGTTCATGAAAGCTTCTTTTATTTTTTTTACTATGTGCATGTAAATTGAATTATATTCGTGATATTTTTTAATGAGTCAGCATTTAAAATCTGATTTACATATAATTTTACTTTTGGCATTCTTAAAATGTGTTAACTTGTTCTAAAAACCACAACAACAGAAATAAAACAAAAAGCTAAAACTGAAACTGTATAAAAACTATGTAAAACTGGTACTTTTTATTTGCATTGATTATGATTTTTGGAGTGATATAACGTTTAAAGGCATAAACTTGATATTAACATGCAACTGTGATGCTGATGTTTTCTTCTCAAAACATTTTCTAGCAAATAGAATAGTCCCTGAATCTTAAGCCTTAATCAGCATGCAATGCAAACCTTCGTTCTATTTGGATATTTTTAACAAAATCGACAATATCTTCTCGTTTTGTAGCTATTAACGATTCAGACTATGTTCATGCTAGTAAGGAATTTTCTGGCAAAGTAAAGAAAGAAAAGGAACGTGAGAAGGAAAAGGATGTTTTACCCACGGGAACCAAACGTCGTGGCACAGTCAGCACGCCGCCGCCGGTCGCAGTCCCCAAAGGAGTTGGCAGGCCACCTGGCTCTAAAATGACTGTAAAATCAGGACCGTCTAAGACAAGCACGTCCGCTGTACCGGTGACTAAGACTCCGATCAAAAAGCCGAAAGAGGCAAAGGAGGAGAAAGAGAAGGTGGTCGTGGTTATTAAAAAAGAAGAAGACGAGCTCAAGGGCCTTGAGGAGCTGTACTATGGAATTAGCGATGGTACTGAAGAGTTTTATGAGCATTTCCCCTACAGCTCGCCTCGAGCCAATCCAGCGGAGCTTACCAGAACAGTGGAGTGTCCAATTTGCTTAAACGGCGATACCTACGACTCCAATGAAAAGCTACAAACGCATCTGGTATCGCATATCTCACCTGAGGGCAAACAACATCAATTCCAATGCCTGTTCTGCTTGGAAAAGCATGCAACCGAATCGGTTCTCGCCAAGCACAACCAAATCATGCATCCCACCGAAACCAAGACGGATGGCTCTCCATCGTATCATTGTTTGATTTGTCAGCAGCGACATAATTCTCTGCACTTGCTTACCGCTCATCTTCAGAAAGTGCACAGCACACTTGAATTACCATACTGGTGTCAATCTTGCGGATATCGCTCCTCCTCGCATCGCGATCTGGTGCGGCATTTTTATGACGATCACAAGAATCAAAACTTTCTACAGTGCCCCTATTGCCTCGATGTAAGTGTAATTATAATATCCTGTTGATTCAACTTATGCTCTTTTGCTGCTTTTTGCAGATCTTTTACTTCACCCACAAGGGCAAGGTCAATCAGCTGCGTGTTGAGCATTACTTTATGCATCTTGACGAGCACGTGAACAAGCGGGATCCAACATTGCGTTGTCAGAAGTGTTCTCTGAGCTTCTTGGAGAAGGGCGACTTAAAGCAGCACACGGTTCTCCATCATGTCAGCATGACCAAGACGAATAAACCAGTGCGTCTGCTGTTGAACAACTCCCTTTTGATTCCGCCTCCCAAGGTGCGCACCCATCATCGCGAACAGCCGCCATTTTCGACCTACAAACGGCCCGTTTTCTTTGCCTTCCTGGAGGGCAAGACCTGCGCTGAGTGCAATACAGATTTCGCCAGTGAGGAGACGCACTACACGTAAGAGCAACTGCACTAAAATAATTGATGTGAAACTAAGCATACTTTCTTAATCTTCCACAGAGGTTGGCTGCACTGTGTTAAATGCAATTACCAGACATGTTGCGAACGTGCCCAGTTCCGTCACGGCGTCGACTGTAATGGAAACTTTGTGGATGCCATGGAAGTAAATATGCTGCAGGAAATGCACTGCATCTGCGGCTTTGCCACCAGCAATGGCAACAAAATGGCTCAGCATTTGGCTAACTGTGCCCTGAGCACCTGCTACCCCAGCCTCGAGGCGGCCAATGAGAATGCCGTCAAGCGTAATATGCTGGATATGCTGGGGCTGGTTCGCCGTGATGGTGAAACATCTGGAGAAGGCGCAGAAATGGGCGATGCAGTGGATGACGCCATGGATGACAATAACGATCTATTACCGGCGGCGGAAGATGACCAGCAGCAACAAGATGATCAGCAGGCACACATGCAGCATCGTCCGGAGCCGCCACAGGTCCCGCAAGTTGATATGCAAACGGATGTACAGCAGCAGCAGAGTTATATTGAGCCACAGCCCGAGCCTCAGCCGATACCCCATTTAGCCGAGCAGCAGGCGACGCCCATACAATTCGGAGAAATGGAAGCAGCGCCTGTTATGTTAGATCCGCAAGTTCAAGCAGCCGCCGACTATGCTCAGGTTTCTGTCGTGCAACAGCAGCAGCAGCAGCACCAACAACAGCAGCCATATGGAATGGCTGCATACGGCCAAAGCGCGCTCTCAACGGACATTGACATGCCGTTGATTGGTGAGCTGGCCGAACCTAATGCGCCGCCAACGCCCCAGTTTCTCGGTGAGGTGCACACGCCAATGTTCGATGCAGTGGCCGCTGCCGAGCAGCAACATTATCACGCCCAGCAGCAACAGCAGCATCATCATCATCACCATCCCCAATGATACAAAGCTATGGGTAAGCTAAAACCACGCGATTACACGCTGCCTTGGCAGAACTACTAGAAATAACTTCACCGATTTACAAACGCATTCATGTATATCATGAGTATTAATTGTATTAAATTACATACACTACAATTTTGTAGATGAGCATCGAAATATTGCACAGTAAATATTAATGAAAATTTATAAAACATTATTAAACATACAACTGTAATTGTCCACTTGCAATACACATAAAACATAAAATAAAAATATAATGGTAATCACAGTTTGCGTCTATTAATGCAAACAATTATTGTATTAATTTCTAAAGACCGTTTACAGAAGAATTGTAGTTCTCTTTGTTTAGACACCCCATAACAAATTGTAATTTCTTATCAAGGCCTAAATTTCGAAAATGTACAATTTACATACTGATAAGCTAGGCAAATATAAAATGAATATTTGTTGCAGAACCTCAATAGACTCGCCCTGTGACTAAACCAACTGTACATAAACTCTTGACATCTGTCGAATACTTTTGTTACTGAGAGATTTTTAGAATATTGGAACTGTCTGATTGTGGCTACTGTGCTTCTTGGTCATTTTTGTTGTTGTCGCTGCTTGGATTTTAGAAGCGCTGACAGTACAAGCGCTGTGTCCAGCTCCTGTTGCGTGCCTGGTTCGTTGTCCAGCGAGATTTCAGCAGCACGCTCATGGAAACGCGCCAAAACACGTGGACGATAGTCTGAAAAACGACACTATTAAAGGCGTCAAATAAAGGAATCTATCTGAGTGCACACTTACCGACACTGCCTGCCAGGGGATTACCAGTGAGTCTGAGCGTCTCCAGGAGTGGCAGATTGGCAACAAAATCAACTTCATCTAGCTGCTCGATAAGATTGCAGCTCAAATCCAAATTGACCAGTGAGAGCAGCTTACGCAGTCCGCTTAACGCCTTGATCTTGTTCTGTGCCAGATTTAAGGTCACTAGGTTACCCATGCTCAGGTGCCAGTCAACACACTCAGCTATCAAATTGCCCGACAGCGAAAGTAGCTGCAGGTGGGGCAGCTCTGCCAGATTCTGTACGGTACGAATGCGATTCTGTTCCAGGACAAGGCGACGCAGCTTGGGTGCAGTTCGTACGCTGCCATCAATTTGGGTAAGCAGATTGCCCGTCAGATCCAGTTCGCTCAGCTCGCTCCACGCATTTGTGCTAAGCACCATATCGTCGCTATTGGCTGTTGTCCCCGGCAGAAGGCTGGGCACATTGCAGTCCTTGTGCACATTGTCGCAGAGCAGGACCTGATTGATGTGCGTAATCGTGGTATTATGCACACAAATTGTTTGCAGCGTCGGCTTTAAGAGCTCTATATCCACAATATTCTCTGTAGAGAGCGCTGAAAACTTAAGAGTTTTAAGATTTCGGAATGCATTCAAGTTGAAGCTCAGGCGGTTCGGAATGATATTGCTGCGTCCAATCGGCACATCTACCGTGTTGTAGTCCTGAGCAAAGCTGGCATTATCTTTAACAGGCGTCACCACCAGGGCTGCGAGCTGTGTGCTAAAGTCCAGCACATGCGAAAAGTCAAATTTTCCCCCTTGCTCACTGCTGGGCGGACAGGGTAGGGCGAGACGCTCACTGATGGCATATACCTGAAAATTAAAGCAACAATTATGAATGTAAATTTAATTTGACTAACAAAAATAATTGATTTTCTTTAAATTAATGACTTTCTTTTAATTCTCCTTATGAAGTTAAATTGTTAGATATATTCGCAGGTTGTAGCTCACGCTCATCGTACTTCAGATATATCAATAGCAGCCTATAGAGCAATACTACGCCCAGGAGCCTACGCTGCTCCGTTGTAAATTTGCTGCGGGCCACACCAAAGTAGACACCCACTCGTCTGTTTGTCAAATGATTCAGGCCCAAGGCGTCAATCATTGCTGCCTCACGGGTGTGCGCATCATTTGATGAGATACCTTTAAAGCCGCGCAGCAGTAAGACACCACGTTGATGCTTCCATAGGTGCACAATAAGTGCTAGCTTCGGATCTTTGGCCAACACAACCGGATTGGCCGATCGCAGTACCTTGTGGGCCTGCCGCAAGTGCACGTATGGACGTGTAGACTTTCCCTTGCCTACATAGAAAATAGCGCGCAAGAAAGTGAGCCAAACGTCGAGCTGGTGCATGCTCTTAGCACGATTCTTCAGTCCATTGGTAATACGCGGGTCTAACAGCAAGTAATTAAAAAACAGGCGCTTGCTCTGATCGTGGTGCCAGTGCCATTTGCTATGTTGTTTGACAAGATTAGAATGCTTTTTAATGCTCGCAAAGTTACGTTCCGACTGGAGCGTATGTTGCAGCTCAGCAGAGAAGTTGGTCGAGGGCATGTGGATGACCCCTAAGGAGTACTTGATGCCCCGTCTTTGGGACAACTGGTATAGCAGTGGACGGCCGATGACTGTAGACAGTACGACTACCAACAATTTAGACATGGTTCACGATAGCAAAGCCAAATACGCGCTTAAATGTGTGTATAAATTAATAAAAAAATAAACTATTCAATTGAATTTCTAACATTAAATATAAAATAAAATTCTCCGACAAAACTGAGTTTTTGTCATGGAACTTACCTCCAGTGCCGATAAACTGTACTCCTTCTTGGCACTCAGTAGGGCATCGCCGCTTTCGTAGAACAGCTCAGCAAGATCTTGCAGCAGATATATAATGTCATACTTGTTGAATTCCAAGAATTCGGCAAGCAAACGTGGCAGCTCGTTTCGAAAATAGATGAGTAGCTCTTGCAAATACGTTTCCAATTGTTCGCGACGCTGTTCTAAAAATGCGGGCTGCTTGTTGCCCACAAGCTGCAACAAAAAAATATATAAGTTAAACTCTAAAGTTATTGTCGCTTTATTTCAGTGGGCGTACCTTCTTTGGTGGCAACAGCTTTTTGCTGATCGATACTTCCTCTACGAGCTTTTCGTGGAGCTGAGCAAAATCGCGATAGCGTCGCTCTACAAACCATTCCACGGTTCCAATGCGAACCTTTTTTACGAACAGTTATAATTGTATAGTATGTGAAACTTGTTTTCATAAGTTTAATTAATACCTTGATGTCATAATAAGTGATCCCTGCTGAGCTTTCCACAACATATTTTGGAATTGTCACCGTTGTGTTTTCATGTTGACGATAATAACACGACATTGTTACCTGTGTGTTTTTGGACTTGACAAGTATTTTTTACTTTAGCGCTCAACTAAATGATTAACATAATTGTGACATTTGATTAAATTGAGCTCTTAAAATAACAGCTTTTACTGAATCTAAATCTACTGATGTTTTTGTTGTACAGCTGATTTGTGCGGTTATTAGAGATGGAACAATGTCACAGGTTGGGAGCAATCACTTTGCAAAAACCTAACTGTACAAAGTGCAAGCAAATGCATATGTAAAAATAAGTTGATTTACTGTTCTCTTTCAAGCTTTTCTTATTATTTCATAATTTGTTTTCGTTAAATTGGTCGATTCAAACATATTTTTAATTGTGGTTATTAGTTGTGTATTTTAGCTCGGGAGAGCGTGGCTTCGTCGATAGTTATCGATAAATGATTGACCGTCCAGCGTGCATTCTGGCAACGCTGCTGTGGCCATATCGGCGTTTTTGTTTATATTGTTTGTTGGCAATTTCCATTCAACGAACGCTGACGAACAGGACACACGCGATCTTTAACTAAGCAATGTCACTGCCCACGGAATTAAGCATAGCAACATTCACAACCAAAATATAAAAAATAGTGACTGCTTAAAATGGCGTTTCTGGCCGACTGTGTAATCGTGTTCGTCTCGCAGGCAAGCGGCTCAGTTTATACTACATTGACTATTATTACAAATTGGTATTTTCTCTGTTATAGATGCTTTTCTTTGCCGGCGGCTGGCTGTTCTTTAATAAGCAACTATTCAAGCACTATGAGATTCGTCACATATCCGTGCAGTTGATTTTCTCCTCAACATTTGCGCTGTCCATAACAATGTTTGAGCTCATTATATTTGAGATTATTGGCGTACTGGAATCAAGTTCTCGATATTTCCATTGGCGTCTGGGTCTGACGCTTCTGCTGTTCATGGTGACTGCAGTGATACCCGTATACATTTGTTACTCTGTGATACACAGCATTTCCTTCTGTACGTCAAAGATTTACTCTCAATAACGCTCTTTAAGATTTATTTACTTTCTTACCGCAGTTTCCGACAGATGGGTGCGCATTTTGACAACTCTCTGTTGGTTCGTCTTCCTCTACGGCCTTTGGCGCATTGGTGAGCCCTTTCCGCTGCTCAGCGCCTCACATGGCATTTTCACCATCGAACAGGGAGTGTCACGCATTAGCGTTATTGGTGTGACTGTTATGGCCATACTATCCGGCTTTGGTGCTGTCAATTATCCATACACCAGCATGACCTATTTTATCAAGTAGTCACCATCGCCCATACACAGCTGTGTTCTTATCAGCGTTAACGTTTATGTATTAATTGCAGGCCCGTTTCACGCAATGACATCATATGCTTCGAGCGGCGTCTGGCTCTCACTGTCGATATGTTGACGGCCAAGAAACGCCGCATTGCCATGGCCGTCTACAATCACAATAAACAGCATCCCACAAAACCAAGAATTTGGGATATGCTGACGTCAGCAGTGCATCGCACAACTAGCTCTGGAGAGGGTATAAAAAAAAACCATTGCTTTACATTGCGCTTTTAACAAAGTGTTATTTTTTGTAGACATTAATCAGCTTAAGCAGGAAGTTTACGGGCTGGAAGAGCTACAACGATCCGTCTTTCTCGAGCTGAGCTCACTAAAAAACATGGAGGAGCGTCAACGTTGGTCGCAAACACTGCAAGGAAAATACTTTAATGTTTTGGGGCATTTCTTCAGTGTCTATTGCGTCTATAAAATATTCATGGTTTGTAATCTGTTGTAGGAAAACTGTTGCAATATCTGAATTCCCTTCTCATTTTTAGTGCTGTAT